TCACTCTAATTTTTGAACTAATGTAACTAAACGTGATCTACTGAGAGTACAATTTGCTATGTTAAGCACTTGTAAGACGGAGACAACAAATGTATGTGTAGCGGTACTCTTAATGTAATTATTTTGACGTACCTATACTTAATCAACTTGTATATTATTAAAATAAATTATTGTTGTTTATTTTGAAAATACGAGTGACTTTTGTTATCATAGTTTAAATACATTTAGATAAATTTGTTTGAATCTTTCGATTGTATTTTTATTAAATCATCGACATACATATTTAGATGTATATTTACCAAATTTAATATGAAATTTTCGACGTCTCATTTTTTTTCTTAGTGGTAAAATTGTACGAAATATGTTTATCCTGTGTATATACCATGTGTACCATTTTTATGTAAAATGGTTAGAAATCATTTAGACCCAACTTGTTCTTGTGTTTCGATTCCGACATGTATTTAATAATTAATTTTCGTACATAGGATACAAGCTGAATAAAAATTTGACACATATTTTACGAAGCACAACTACTACAAACAATTGTCTACTCATCACGAACACTGTAAACGTGACAGATATTATGTTAGACATAATATCATATAATTGATATATAGGCACGTAGTTAGAACGATACCGGGGTTGAGGGGAAAAGAGAAAGAGATAAAGAGAAATAAAATAGAGTGAACATTCTAATGGATTTAATTTTATTTATTTTTAGAATAATCACTAATTATAAATTCTTCTTCAAATTAATATTAGTGGTTGTAATCAGTGGTGGATTTTGAACCTTCGTAGTTGGAAAATTACGACCGCGGGGCCCCTCTTCTTATTATATGTATACTGGGGCCCACCCAAACTATAAAGTTATTTTAATTATTAACACAAAATAATAAATAGGAACATCTTATATAATATCTTCCCTGTTTATCAGTATTAGTAGTTTTGTTTCAGGCCTAAGTATTTATCAAATATTTTTTATGATATTTTATGAATATGTAAGGGGATTATATGATATGTTTAAACAGGCTCTGCCACCTACTATGTTAACATAAAATGTCAATATTGGTTTTCCATTTATCACACGTATAGCATAATATTATAATAATATACATTAGGTAAGTCAATGCTCATATTATTATATAATTTCATACTTTTATTATTGTAGAATTAAAAAGTAGTATACAAATTATATTCCATTTTATTTTTTTTTTAATTAATAAAATAAAAAATATAATAAGCTTGGAAACAAATGTTGGAATTTAAAAACCTTGATTTTTTTCTTTTGGAGATCGGAAATTATACGTTCAAAAGTTATACAAAATAATTCTATGATAATTATACCTAATTGAAATAATAACACTTATACATAAATAGTATGCAGTAAGTACCTATACTTAATAAAAAATTTATTATACAGATATAATGATTTTTTAATCTTGAGAATGAAATATATAACTCAACTATCCTTATTATAACGTATTATATTATCATATTATTATTAATGAATCAAGACTTAGGTACACGAAAACACAGAAGTGAAGTTTTAATATTAGGTTCTTTGGTGATTTAAGTCAATCCCAGGACGTACAAATCAATACAGTCAAATTTAAATTAATAAAAATGTTTAAAAGGATTTTTCTTTCAAATCAATTAATAATAAAATGTATTAGTTTATTGAATTCACAAAATTGAAACATGATCAGTGAGGCTAGGATTATAATGAATTCGCATATTGTTTTTCTTTAGTTCAAATACACTGTTTGTCAGTTATGTCCATGATTTGGATCATACAGAATTGAACAAAACAATTTTTATTTTGCATATTCCAATAAAAATATATTTACTTAAAAATATTTTATAATATATAACAGCATATTATTAAGAGTTTTCGAATATTTATTTGAAAAAATTAATGTATAGTCATATTTATCAAATAATGATCAGTAGATAATATTGTTTTATTTGTGGTATGATATAGTCATATTTAAAAACTAACGTTTTTTGTTACCAAAGTTTGCAAAACTGATGGTTAAATATATAATTGTATAATATGTGATCAATTTTCATATACAACTATTTAATGATTGATAAAGTTTAAAATATTATGTTTTTTGCATATTTTACCATTTTGTATTGCATATTAAATCTATAGTATAAATTAGTTATAATCAGTATTTCAAACAGAACGAAATAAACTTAATATTCAAATTTAATAGGTAATTATATTAGTGTTTCAAAATTATTTTAATACAATACATTTCATGCACAATATTATTTCATTCTTAGAACACAAATAATTGAATATGTTGGTATAATTAGGTAATATCCTTATAGTTAGGTAACCTAACGATGTCTTCAAATTACATACTGCTCTTGAGGAAAATAGAGAAACGCATTTTATCGATAAACTGTATACTAGGTAGATGATAATATAATGTTTAATGAATATTATAATATGGAACTATTAATGGGTACATAGTATGAGATCATAGAAATTATGTTCAATTGGTCATAATTATATTGGTTATTTATGCCAATTATACTTGGATAAAAAAACAAATATCTTTAATTAATTAATTATAATATTTACAACTAAAGAAAAATAAATAATTAGATAAATATTAGAGGCGGATACTACCTATTTCTATTTTAAGAGGACGCTACCCATACATTTGTTGTCTCCGTCTTACACACGCAAGGCATAGCAAATTGTCGTTCACTAGTTTCAATAGTGTGCTGTTAGTTTTGATACTAGAGTGAATTGACCTATTATAAAACTTTTAGGTAAGAATATTACCTGTGTTGCCGATTTGTTGAGATTTTCATTTTCAAGCAAGATATGGATATGTCAAATATCAATAAATTTAAATGCTCATATCTCGCTTGAAAATTAAAATATCGAATAAAAGCCAACGCTTAAACACAGATAATGTTATTATATAAAATATTGATAATAGGTCAAATCACTCTAATATCAAAACTAACAGCACACTATTGAAACTAGTGAGCAAAAATTCGCTATGTCGTGAGTGTGTAAGACGGAGACCACAAATGAATGGGTAGCGTCCTCTTAAGTAATATTAGTTAAGCCGAATACTAAGTGCTTTAGTAGTTGAGTGTATTTTTATAGGACACTGTAATATTACAATATACATGCGGTAAAAATGTAAATATTTTTTGCTCTTTTAACCGTTATTATGATGTATAATAATATTATATATCTTACAGTTTATTAACATTGAGTATACAAACAAAAAACGTATTATCAGATATTTTAAATATACATTTTTCAATATGTTACTAAATAGAATAAATATTGATATTTAATTATTTTATATATTTTTACGGTTATCATATTTTGTTTACTGATATTATTCGATTAATCAAATTATGAATGTTTTACATTTTGCTTAAAGGTGTTTTGCTGTACCGAAGTATAATAATCAAACTCAGTGATGCTATATATTATATTATTATTATCATGTCCCCGAGAATTTCAATACACATAACGAAATCGAGGATAACAATTTTTAAAGGTAATAATAATATATCGAGCACAAACGAAGGGATTGTAACAGAAACTAAAGTCACGCATGTGGACTAGAAATTTGATATGGGTGGGGTCAGAATCGAACAAAACTGGGGGAAAACGGCGTCAATAAAAAGTAATCGAAATTCTGTAGTAGGTAGCAAAAATAATGTAATACTGATTAAATTGGCATATAAACCGCACAGCTCAGTTACATACTTACATAAATATATAATAATATTGCACAATTGTGAACTTAGTGCAATGATTTGCTTTGAAATTTTTAGTCAACATTTAATAATTATTAGGTTCAACAAGTCCGGACACACGTGACTGTTTATAATAAAATAATCATCGATGACTATGCTTGTATTAAGCTCTTCAATTAAAACAGAGGGTGAAACAAACGATTGCATTATTTAAATTTTGAAAATGTTTTTCGGTAGTGTTATTTCTGATTAAACTTTATTTTGTCAATTAGGAAACAAATCGGAGAGATAATAAAATACTAGTGGCAGGAAATAATATTATATAATCAGCGATTTAATACTTTTGAAACTAATAAGTAGAGTATTTTTTTTTAACCGTTAATTATCTCTAATGACGTATTCTTCGATTTATTTATTTATTTTCGTGAAAAATAAAGTCAAACTATTCGTTATATATTTAATATACTCCAAGCGACGTACACTAAAATAGAATTGTTTTTTATTTTTTTTTATTCAATGAATCAAAAAGCTTATTTCATTGGCTGTTGTATAATACTATTATATTATTATATACCTTGACCTTATCCGTTATTTTTCTACATGGTTTAATTATATCGTTTGTCAAATTACAGAACCTTTGACGATTAGTCGCTGGTCGAATAGACAGCGTTCGCTTGAGCGATAACGTGCGCTGTGGTACGGCGAGGCGGTAACATTTACATAGGGGCTTCTTATCCCAAGGGGGTATCGATTTTACCGTCGGAAAACACCGTGACTTCTGTGAGGCGGTCACTCGGCAACTGGGAAAAGTCCTCTTGGTATCGCGTTCCTCAAAATAGGCTCAAAACGTTTAATAAGTATAATATATATATCAAACACACCAACACATGTTCGATCGCTTGTGCGTGTGTATAGGTACACTGGATCGACGGACACAGCACTATGGGGTATGCACAACCCTTGTCGCGGGTGTATACGCACGTCACGCCAAGGACGAGCCGAGTTTCTTTATTTGACCCGGACTACGGTCGCGGTATCGGCCAAAGGCCAACGGTCTTGGGTACACGGCGATTATTCACTAGCGCACGCACACACAACACACGTCTTGTGCTATGCCCTTATAATATAACAGTATATTATACCGTATCGTGACGTCCGTGCTTTCGCGTAGGTAGGTAGGTATATTATAATGTACAGCCGTCGGTGTCGTTATGGTAACAAGTCGCGGACAACACACGACGTACTTTTGGGGGTGGGGGATGGGGGTGCGCTGCGATCAAGCTGTGCGTGGCAAGCAATCGCCCGGCATTGTTCGCGGCCGTTTTGCGTGGGTAAGCTACGGGAAAATTTTCCGGTTCCGACGTGGTGGCATTTCCGTCTTTCCGGTGGCAGACGAGGTGGCGCCGACAAGGCCGGAAACTAGAGGCTGGATCATGGTGGACCGGCGAATGGCGTACGAGGCGTACAGGAAGCGGACGGAAATACCTAGGGGACTCGACTATTTGACCGAACGTCTGGTCCGAGCCGTCATCCGAGTGCAACCGAAAAACGTCCACGAATTCGCCGCCCAGTTTTTCGACGGTCTTTTGCAACAACGCGACCATGGTAAGTACCTACACTCTACAGTATGATATGTTGTTGTAGCGCACTTTGTGATGTGGTCGAAAAATGTATATTGTCAAAGTAGAATAATATTCTAAATTATATTATTACAAGAAGTGAAACAGTAACGCAGTGTCGGTTCCGGTGATTCCCGAAGGCGCTAGGACATTTTTCAATATTGGGTGCCCACAGCCAAATGGGAAAATATATATTATTCGAATCACTCACAAGTCTGTGACTTGGATATTTCAAATTATTTTTGAAACAATGACAAAGTCTGGTTTGTTTAACACATTGTGCATATATTATTCGAATAATATGCGTTATTGTACTTCCGTACATCACACTACAATATAAAGCAAACGAATATTATTTTATAAAACTCAAAGATAAGCCATCAATACCTTGAACTTAAGCTTGTCAGTTTGTTGAAGAATAAGTCATAGAATGTATAAACAAAGATGAAATGATTGATTTGTTAGGATCTTTCCGCAATGAATTAAAAATTAAAAATATTAAAACAATAATTTATAATTTATTTAATTAATGTTATATTTTATATTTATTGGATTTTTTTTACAATTAGGTATAGGTATTATTTTAATTGTATGTGTACAACAATTTTTAAAAAAAGTAAATGGAACATTGTTGATTATATTTTTTTTTTAATAATTGCAAACAAATTATATTAAAAGGCAGTAAAAATTGGTTTTTTTTTTTTTAAAGTTTGTATAGTCCCAATCGTGAGCCAGACCAGTGTTTGATAGATATTGGAAAAAACTTAAGCTGTCGCTTAAAAGTCCATTATTTTTTTCCCCAGAACTATAGGTTTTAATAATCCAATAATTATAATTTTTTTTTATTTTACATGCTGTTATTAAAAATGTGTTTATTTCAATTATATGCAAAAAAAAAAACAACTTGGAAAATATAAAAATCTAATGTATTTTTTTTTTCTTATCAATTTGACATTAGTGATGTACATTATTTTTTCCCCCCAATAACATTGTAATGTGGGAAACAACTTGTTTAAGCTAACGTTACCTACATGTACGTATGTTATCCGAGGGAGTCAATAATATTGTTTATACATGAAGTACTTTTGACTCTTTATAGGTGTCATTGGCGCCCGTATTCAACACGATACGGGCATTAACATTTTAATCTATTGAAGATTATTGTTTAAAATATGTTTGTACGACACAAACAGCTAATAGCTGGGCATTATTTATGAGTTTATGACCCTCTGGCCTGGGTTGATGACTCAATAACATCATATTGTATTTCATATTGTGAAAATTATTTTTTTTTAATTCTCGTTTGGTAATGCTAGGTAGGAATATTATTAATCGGCTAATTTATTTTATCCTCTACATTGCATGAAAGCACAATATTCCTAGGTTGCAGCGAATACCCACAAGTAAAAACAAGGTAAGTGAAATAAACAATTGGCTCCAAGGAGAAAAAGTGTTGGCTTTTCTACTGAAAAACTGAAATGACACGGTCGTAAAAAAAAACTAGGGAAGTCAAATGTTATGGACGATAATATTACTCCCGCAACTCGATTTGAGAAACTCGTTCGGGCCACAGATATTGTCTCTTATATCGTACACACGACCATTATATAGGTTTATTACGTGTGTGCGTGTGTAAGTAGCAAACAACCATTACATTTATTATGCTATAATAATATTCGTATTGTATATTATTTTTATCGCAGTGGTCAACGACGACGGTTCAGCAGTATATGTAGACCGCTTTATTTAATCTCGTTGCAAATCCCGCCGTCGTCATATATTATTATTTACAGACGTCATCCCATGACTTGATTGAAAAACTATTATTATTATATATATTCACCCACAACCCTTTCTGGGTTTCACGTTAATCGTGCAACATGACAGAAGTACGCATTTCCGGTAAACCGTCTAAGCCTCTCCCGACGAAAAACCACTGGAAACAATATAATAATAATAATAATAATATGTACTTATAACCAATTTTTCGGTTTAATACCCAACTCGAAATTCGATTTGTTCCGATGACGCAGTATGTCTATATAATTCGTTCAGACTTGCATCTTCGTAATATTATGTCGGTATAGATCAGTAATAATAATAATAGTACAAATAATAACAACACTGCAGGACATTTAGACAAATTAAAAATCGAATGAAATTAATTTTACAGACACAAATTAATTTACACATTTTTATTTTAAGTTTCTGTTTATATTACATGAACAATTCATAAGATTTTTTAATTCTGTCCAAATAATAATTAATTCATAAATTAATTAAAAATATTCCAAAAGTCCGAATATTGGTCCGTAACAAGAATACATTTTAATGTACCTACCATATTTTTAATTTATTGAATGCACCTACTTTAATTTTAAAATAATTAAGTATAAACAATATTATTGAGATATTTTGTATTTAACCAATTAATTTGATACACAACCGAAAACCATTATATTTCTAAAGTTTTTTCAGATATTTTAAACAAAACGGTTTTGTGTAATCTCTGTTGTAAATAAAATTAACTTATCTGAACTGTATTATACCAGGGCAATGCAATCAACATTTCTACAAAGATGAAAAATAAACATTTATTGAAGGATTGTAATTTGTTTAGACTTTTAACAGTTTATCATTTTAAAAATTTAAAATATAATACATATCATCTTTAAAATACGAATTAATTTTGATTTTAAGTTTATTCTTAAGTCAGTATTGAAAAAAATTTATTTAGAGTGATATGCTTATATGTTGTCATTTGTTATTTATTTATAGTTATATATTTATTTTAATTGGCTTCACTAGACAAAAAAAAAAACGAAATATTGATTAAAATTAAACTAAATTAATAATTTTAGAGTGGTACAAAGTATAAAGTCGGTCATTGCAAACAGAATAAATGTAAACAAATAAATCGTTTTAATGATAGTAATTATTGTTTATCTTAATGTCTAATACGCAATATTATGCACTATTTTACTGCTATTACGCTCTAATTAAAAATAAAAGTAACTTTATAGGAATCGTTGATTGTTTGTTTTCAGTTGATTGAAATTATTATGGCGTGGCTTTAATATGATTCGCTTATAGGGCAATCAAAGTAATCAGAAATGACGACAAATACTAATAGTTCAATAAAATTGATGTGGTTTTTTTTTGTTAACTTTATAATTAATAATATATTTTAGTTTATACGTGATGGTATTAAATCACCTTTGTGGTACATATATGGCAAAACGGTTTGAAATATAGGTACGGATACTCGCTTTATATCTGATACCTGGTTTAAGTTAGAAAGATTATAATTTTATATAAGTATTATTAATATTTTATGTAGGCCTCATAGTTTCAGTCATTATTATGAAATATAAGGGGGGGGGGTTAAACACCCAAAACCCCCACCTGGTTTCAGTTATTTAATTTACCATAGTAAATTAACAATACCAGTATCGTTGGAATCGTTTATAAGGATCCTTAGGTATTTGTTTTCAGTTGATGAAAAATATTATTCCGTGGCTTTTATATTATAATTGGCTAATACTATCAAAGTAATTAGACATTTCAAAAAAATTCTAAAATTTCAATAATGATATTGAAATTGGTTATTGAAATGTAGTTATTTTAGACTCTGAACGAGCTATGGATATATTGATCCTACAATGTGGTTTATTTTTTTTTGTGTTTGTGTGTGTCTGTGTATTGTGTACAAGATAAAATAATGTTTCGACGTTAAACTTAAGTATCTTTCCGGTTTAAATTGTGAATCTAGTTACTTTGGAAGGCCAGCATTTAATTAGATACCTAAATGAAATGATCACTGAATGTTTATATTAGCATTTTCTCTACACCATTACATTTTAAAAAAATATTACAACGCATGTTGAGGTATTTATAAGCATATGCAGTTTTATATATTTATTTAAGATTCTGAGCAATGAATGTATTAATATTACAATAATGTGTGTTTTTATTTTTATTTTTTTTTTGTGTCCGTCATCATTGTTTGGGGCAATAAAATTCCTTCGATTTTCTTCAACAGTATCTTCAACGGTATATTCAACAGAATCTAGTTGGTACATTGAGGAGGTCATCATTAATATTCCCAGTAGTTTTCAAAAGCGCAGAGAAAACAAAATTAAAATTAAGGAAAAACTGAAATCTTTAAGCAAAATCGGCTTTTGAAAAAATAGATTTATAACTCCAGACAAAAAAAATGACTGTATATACATGAAATTTTCATTGGATATTTATGTTAGAACTTTCAATGCATTTTGCAATTTAATTTTCAAAATATTTTGGTTTGTTTTTAACTATTTACGGACATTTTCAGTTTTCAATTTTTCCATAAAATATCTTCTATAAATGTCAATGAAATTGTATTTGTTGGGTCAAAAAGTGTGAAAAATTAATACAAGGTTCCTGATATATTGTTATAATAGTAGTTGAAACACACAGTTCTCTTATAAGCAGTTAAAGTTAGTTAAAGTTCGATTTTTGACAACATTTATCAAATTATAAACTTAAACATTATTTTATAGTTAAAAATGTATAAAACCCTGAATTTTCAACTTTCAAGTATCAATTTTTATAGCTAAGGATTGAAAATTTAAAACAATGGTCCACGAAAGTAGATTATTCTGTAACCGAAAAATCTCAAAAATACAAAAACACAGTTTTTTTTATAGTGATATTTTATGTTCAAATTTGAACAATATTACATATTATTGAATAACCAAGAATAAAGATTTTAGAACTTACCGGCTACCGTATTAATAATAAGTAATAACAATATAAATATAAATATATAATGTAAAATATCCACACTCGGCACACTCATAAAACCGTCCCCGCTCAGAATTGTTTTTCGTATACGATGATATTTTATCATTGAATTCAAATTTAATATCATCCATCATAGTAAAGTGACCCACATGTAACCTACAGTACAGCCGAGCGACATTCTCTTACCCAGTTACCCACCTTTTTAAAATTAATGTGGATAAAAAAAT